CACAAACACCTCAGCCAACAGCCCCAGCACACCACACACACCTCACTACACAAACACCTCAGCCAACAGCCCCAACACACCACACACACCTCACTACACAAACACCTCAGCCAACAGCCCCAACACACTACACACTTGAACTTTCTCAACACTCTCACTTCAGACGTTATAAATACTTCCGAAACTTTAAATTAATGAAACTGCACAAAACACCTCAAGTAGACTGGCCCGTTCCCTCAATTAACCACTCCGTAAAAAATGCAACTGTTTTACCAAACCTAAACTGTACGAACCCAAGCAACCCCCCTAACCTATCGAGGCCGAATAAGACGTCAAAATTACGGCGCTTCATTTGTTTATTAATACGTGACATTTGTAACGTATTGGCAGGGAAAAAGAGGTTGACCTTACGCTGACTGAGGTTCAGTAGATGGGCAGCATCTTCAACCCTTCGGAGCGTGCCAAAAGGTACTAATTTCGAGTCATTATCATGATATCATGATATCATTATCATTAAAGGGTTTATCATTAAAGATATATTTGGCGTGAGAGGCGAGGGAGCGCTGGAGGCAGTCTGGCGCTCTCAGGCAGATCACCAGTAATACATTTGCAATTTAAATTTGAAGCGATCTCACTGATGTGGCCATGATGCATGTGCTCGGGAAACGGTAAAGCTGAACTGAGGAGTAGTGTGATAGGGCGTGATCACGCGGTACATGGAGGGAGACACCAGTTATTAAACCATAATATATTCCGAAATGAACTGCATATCTCTCTCTCTCTCTCTTCTCTCTCTCTCTGTCTCTGTCTCTGTCTCTGTCTCTGTCTCTGTCTCTCTCTCTCTCTCTCTGTCTCTGTCTCTGTCTCTCTCTCTCTCTCTCTCTCTCTCTCTCTCTCTCTCTGGTCTCTCTCTCTCTCTCTGTCTCTGTCTCTGTCTCTCTCTCTCTCTCTCTCTCTCTCTCTCTCTCTCTCTTCTCATTCTCATTCTCATTCTCATTCTCTCTCTCTCTCTCTCTCTCTCTCTCTCTCTCTCTCTCTCTCTCTCTCTCTGTCTCTGTCTCTGTCTCTCTCTCTCTCTCTCTCTTCTCTCCTCTCTCTCTCCTCTCTCTCTCATTCTCATTCTCATTTCTCTCTCTCTCTCTCTCTCTCATTCTCTCTCTCTCTCTCTCTCTCTCTCTCTCTCTCTCTCTCTCTCTCTCTCTCTCTCTCATTCTCATTCTCTCTCTCTCTCTCTCTCTCTCATTCTCATTCTCATTCTCTCTCTCTCTCTCTCTCTCTCTCTCTCTCTCTCTCTCTCTCTCTCTCTCTCTCTCTCATTCTCTCTCTCTCTCTCTCTCTCTCTCTCTCTCTCTCATTCTCATTCTCATTCTCATTCTCTCTCTCTCTCTCTCTCTCTCTCTCTCTCTCTCTCTCTCTCTCTCTCTCTCTCTCTCTCTCTCTTCTCTCTCTCTCTCTGTAGATTGAGAGTCCTTAAGTACACTTAAGATTGCTTGTGTTAAGGGAATCACACTTTATGTTCACTTTAAATCTCATACAAATAATGAAAATATCTTATCAGACAATATGCAGCATTTAATTCTGAAAATTACGTCCCTTATAACTGTAAATG